AACAGATTGATGGTGTTTGAGGGCAAACAGGCACTCGGCATAAAGCCAGACATGGAGTGCCGGGCCGTTCTGCAGCAGCCTGCTTCTTCACATATTCACAGCTGGAACTCACACTTGTCTTTTGACTGCTGGAGTTCATCTGAGTGCAAAAGCTTTGTGAAGATATGAGAGTCTGAATACGGGCAACAATGCTTTTTTTCTTACCGCTTTGAACAGGAAGATGAAAAAAAGAGGTAGATCAGTGTCTGTTTCCAGGATTTTCAACAGCTGATACAAGTGTTAATACTAATCTACATCCTTGGTATAGAAACCTTTCACTGTATTAATACAGTTCTTAGGGAACAGGTGGATAATAAGGCCAGTGTACAGACAATCAGATCAGGCGGGAACACACACAAAGACAGGAAATAAAAACAGACATGATACAGATTAAGGAAACACTTTAAAAGTAAAACAGGAAACAGAAACTTAAAACTAGGATCATGACTAATCATTCATTTTAAACAGAGGGAAGTTTTAAGAGCACAACAAGAGTTGAAGGCAGTAGTTGTGGATGGGTAAAACAAACAGTACTTTTATTGCTTCCTGTGTTAAACCAACATTTTGGTCATACTTTTTGACGTTATCTAACAAGATGCAATGTAATTGAGACAGTTGACATTACTTTCGCAGCTTTACAAACTTATTTTCTTACAAAGTAATGTTGTTGCCTGAACCTAACCATAACTATTTCACAACGTTACATTACAAGTCATTTAGCTGATGCTTTACCCAAATCAACTTACACTTAATTCCCATGAATATGCCTGGAAGACGATTTTAGGTTTAAATATCTTGCCCTCTTCACACTTTTGAATGCAGAGGCCGGGGATCGAAACACTGAACCTCTGAACCTTCAGGGTCAAGATATTAATCAAAGGACAACCCTTGACATCATGGTAGTGAAAAAATACATATGGTTTCCCACACAGGAAATCTATTGGAGGTAGACTATAATATTTGGAAAGTCCACCCTCAGCACGAAATGAACACACCAAGTATGTCATAATTTTAATTACCATGATATTTGCTGAGCACAGTCATTATGTTCTAATCAAACTATCAGGGCAAATATTTAATCTAACAATGAAGTTGTTTCCTCTGCATGTTCAACCCTTTTGTATAGTGTACTGCAGCTTCAAGGTCTCAAATCCTAATTGAATTCCCTCAAATCAATAAAAAGAAAATAACTGGACTTATATGGAGCTTTATGATGCGAGCCTCGGCGTGTGATTAACCTTCCTCAATGTTCAAAAATGAAATTACTTTGGCTTAAATTGATAAGATAGCTCAGATGCCTTTTCACCTGACATGCAAAAAACAGATGCACTTATTTTTTGTTGCTTTGTTTAATAAACCAATATCAGTTGAAGTTGAAGGACGGGAACAAGTGAGAGCTGGTTGTCAAGAAGCACATTTTGAAGGGAATGGTTGATGGAGGAGTGGTGGAGGTATAGAGGGTGGTGGGGAATCTGCAATATGCAAGGCCCGGAGCTCTCCTGCTCCCCTCATTAGACACAATGGTGAGCTGGGAGTGTGATCAAAGGCCAGGTGTGATCAGGCCGGCACACAGCTGTCACACTGTCACCACCACAGGGAGGCTGAGAGAGAGAGAGAGAGAGAGAGAGAGAGAGAGAGAGAGAGATGATGGTCCTGTTGTAATAAAAATCGGAGGAGGAGAAAGGATGCAAAAGAAAAGGGGAAAGCAGAGGGGAATGGTAGTGAAATCTGGGAAAAAGAGAATAAAGAAAGGCTGGTAAAAGGGGGTTAACATGGAGAGAAAAACTAAGGAAAATAAGTGTAAGAGGATGCAAATCAAATGAGAACACACTTAAAAATGTAAGGAAAAAGCAAAAAGGAGAGAACAGCATAGGCGGGACAAAATAGAAGATAATGAAAAGAGATGTGGTGAAAATAAAAAAACAGATGAGAGGAAAGGAAGGGAGGAGAGACAAGGGAAAGTAGCAAGATGATGGAGAGAAGATAAAATAAGACAAACCTGGACAGGTGACATGATAAAGAATAACAAATGTAAAAGGGAAAGGCCAATAGAGTGGTGCAGTAATGAGTCCTAAAACCCGGCAACAAGTTAGCATTTCAAGTCAATGTTTATGGGTTTTAGCTTAGCTAAGAACAATGAATCCGTTAGCATGTTACTTGGTTGGGTAACTTGGTTTCGGTTTGTAAACAGTAGGCCTACAACATTATCTTGATTTCACTTCATAAAAAGTCATTAAATACACCACTGGTGAATGTCTGAAGCTTCTATGCTTTTTTTTAAATGGCGGTTGCTAACAAGTGATAATATAATTCAGTGATGCAAACACAGGTATGGTGAAAAAAGAGAGAACTATTTGAAGCAGGAAAAAAACAGCGTAATATACCATCTGACAAAGGCCTGTGCTATAATGCTTCAATTAACTGACTATTCTTTATAATATACTCAGATCAATAGGAGACAGAGATGTTAAGTTATAAATCAAGGGTTTTTATTATTACTTACAGCAGGGGTGGGGAACCTTTTTCCTTTCAATTTTTACAACATCCTCCGAGGGCCGTACAAATTATTGAACTCAACCTCTGCTTACCGAGGGCCGTACAAATTATTGAACTCAACCTCTGCTTAAAAAAACTAAAATCACAGCCAATTCATTTGGCCTTTCTTTCATGCTGTGCAAAGAAAAAGCAACCTCTTAATCCCAGATATCTTGCCATGACTCGCGCATGCATGCTCGCGCATGCATGCATGCATGCATGTGCACGGTGTGGCATGACCACCAAAACAGAAAGATATGGACACAAGATGTGTGCAAATGTATCTATGTGAACATGATTTAAGTGGGGGGGACCTAACCTCCTCTAGCAACCCAGTCTCATGGCATTTCGTGTTCACCAACACGATTTTTAATCTATTGATTCGTGTTCACCAACACGATTTTCCCCTTTTTTTCGTGTTGCACAGCACGATTTTAAAAGCAATGTATTTCTACTGGTAATGTGTTTCGTGCCTGCAGCACGTCTTTTTCTCCGGTCGGGTCGTGACGACCCGACCGGAGAAAAAGACGTGCTGCAGGCACGAAACACATTACCAGTAGAAATACATTGCTTTTAAAATCGTGCTGTGCAACACGAAAAAAAGGNACGCCGTAAAGTCGCCGGGGAGGCCAAGGTACCGTACATTTAATATAAACTGCGGGGCGGAAACCCTCTTGCTGTTCGTGTGGATTAGACTGTTATATTTGAAAGTAAACGGAGGTCGGATGGGCATGTTACTACGCAGTATAGTTAACATACGCGTTCCGAAAAATAGTTAATATTATTACCAGTAACTTTGTAACACGTTACCAACGCTGATGTTGTTCTTCTGTGGTTCTCATTGAAGACGGCGTCACGGCTCCGCCTACACTGCGTTACTACAGATACTACCCCAGTTCCTAAACTGTAGTGGAAGCGCAGCGTTAAAGTGAGCTTGGCCTAACAAAACCGTACTAAGTCGAGCGAGGCCTGCGGTGGAAATGTGCCATTCGCGGGCCAACAACCAGGCTGAGTATGCTAAACTAGAGAAAGAATCGCTGGCAAGGGGGCTACAAGTACAACAAAATGAACATATTTTAGCTTGATTTAATTATAATACGTTGCCGAAGTAACAACATACTGATACCGGTTAGTAAAAACCATGAATTAATGCTTTGACAAGTCTGCAGACAGACGGCAGGCGAAAAACCTTTTAAAATGCGTGTTTTCTAAATGGAGATCGGCTAAGCTAACGCAGTATATGCTCCGACCGTCCACACTCACAACAACGGCCTACAGACATAAATGTCGAGGCTAGTGGAGCCTCGCAGATGGGGCTGCTGCAGCACCCATCCCGCGTCCATTCGCGATGTCTCGCAGCAAGCAGGAAACAACACCAGTAAGCCAGCTCACACTGTCAGCTCCTCGCAGCAGCGAGCTGACCAATCAGAGCACAGTGGGCTCACAGGGAGTCGGGGGCAGGAGCTCCAACAAGCCGTTTAGGACAGAGTGAAATTCAGTGAATACCTATACTATACAGAGATACCAATATGATTTTGGAACATTGAACAATGTAAATCTATTCTAGTATACCTCAACAATGGAATTATGATCAGTAGAAATGGCCATGTCATGGGACCTTTAATGTATTTAACACTGTGCAAATCCAGAAATAATATCTTATTAATACACCTTTTGTAGTACATTGTGCACATTAATAATTGTTTGTATACATATTAGATTTCTTTTTTTAATCCTTTATACAACATATCTTTAATTCAAGTTTATAAAAATAAATTGAACATTCTAATGTGAATTATATATGTCAATATACATATTTTATTCTCTTTTTGATCTATTTATCTTTTAATTTATTACATTCTAAAACAACTGTCACAAAACCCAATTTTCCCAGGATAACATTTGTTTTAATTCTACTTCCTGTTGTGCAGAGGAACTAGAGGACAGTGTGCTGCTCTCTTCGTCAGCCGAGAGCCAGCCCGACCCGCAGGAGCTGAGCTCCGAGGCAGCCATGGACCTCAGCTCTGCTCTTGCTTCCACGGACACTGACACAGAGGCCACGCCCCTCTCTCTGTGTGACTCCACTGAAAATCCACCTGTGTGTGAAGCTTCTCTCCCTGTAGAGTCTCCAGAGCCCCCTTCTGTCCCAGCAGAAGACCCTACCCTGTCTCCCGTCCAAATCGACCAATCTCCTGCTGCCGATGAGTTCACGGCGGCAGAGGATTCTCCAGCAGAGGAGCCAGGAGAGGATCCAGCAATGGAACCAGAGGAGCCTCTAGATGTTTCTCCTGCTCACCAATATGAAGGTCACGAGGAAGAACCTCCTCTTGAGTAAGCTCGCACAAAAAAAAAGGTGATGTTGACAATCACTGGGGCTTTTTTAAAAGGAACACTGTATAGGAAAAAAACAGATACACGCTGTCTGATTTTATATTACAGTCTAACAATCCCTCATGAAGTAAGTTACACTACAGAAACAAACTAAAGCATTAGAGAAATACTATTTGTTTTATATGTGGGAGAGTTACTGCTAATTTGTACACTAAGGTCATAATGTCAAAACATTTTCATGCTTTGGTGCAAAATTATTAGATTATAAGGGTGACAGGGCTTTGCTTCGGTTGAATGAATACTTTAACACTTCCAAAGGCATACAGAAAAGCACAGCCGCACCTTAATATCCAAAAACACAACATTTTTTTTAAGCGCATTGTTACATCTGTTGTGTTTTTAAAATAAATCCCAAAGCTTTAAAAAGGTAGCATTTAAGGTTTTAAGAGGGAACATTTTACAGTACTGCCCATGTTATGGATTTTTTAAGTGTTTGTATGACGGAAATGTTTGTGCATAAAATGCGTTTACTCCAGATTTCACGAGGTCAGTATGTTTTAAACACCGTTTCTAAATTTGATTTATTCAGCTATGCAGCCTGGGATCTGTTAAAAATAATTTGTATGGTTGGAATCATATCCCCCATGTCTGATTTTACTCTTTTAAATATTTGTAATCTATGCAACAGTAGACATATGCTGCCTGAGAGTTGGCAGATAATGTGCAATTGAGTATGCAAGACGTCTAGCCACAGTGATGCTGCTGTTGAGTTATTATTTCTCTTTCTAGGGGGCTTCTTAAAAGTTTTTCACTGTCAAAGTAGGTGCTAGTGTGTAAAATAAGGAAAAGTATTTTTGCAGATATTTTATCAATTAATTGTATGTTTTATTAGGAATGAGTGCAGAATCTTTTGATGAATGTGAATGGGTGAAGGTTAAACAATCATATCACTTTAAAAAAAGAAAAATCGTCCCTTGTTTTTCTTGTTTCGCACACTAACACATCCATTTACAATCCCCATAATGTGTCATTGTTAAACCATTCCAATTTATTTATTTGAATGCCTAAAATATACATATTTAACAAATTATTACAACAAGGGATATTGCAGCGTCATGGCCTAATTGTGGTACCCATCATGATTTTGGCCAATTAGAGCTCACTCGATGCTTCCCCCCCCGTGATGGCGTAACACACTCTTCATGGCAAAAATTAACTGCGGAAAATGTACAATGAAAAGATCTGCAAGAAGAAAGAAAAAGGGTTTTCCTGTTCACTTTAGAGATTTCCACATGGTGATATATTTATATAATCTCTTAGATGAGATTCCCCTTCAAGTTATATTCATTGAACTATTAAATCTAAATGAAATATACATTAGGAAGAGCCCTCACCGCTCATGACCCAAGGGTAAGCATGTTATTAAAAGATATATAACTTACATATAATTTCCCCAATTGCTAAGATGACTTGGACAACCACTAACATGATTTTTTGGGTTGTATTAAATATTTAAACATCCAAGTCAAATTAATGACCGTGAATGTGCTCTAGGGATTTTGGGGGAAAAAATAAATGTTAAGTAAACTGTACAATAACGGAATAAAACTGCTGCAAATGAAAGTCACTGAAAGCAAAAAAAGTTGTACACATATTTACAACAACGAAAAAGAACATTGAGACCAGCACAGCTAAAAAAGACACAGACAAGTGCTTCTGTCAATGAGGTTTCAAGCTCTGCGGTAATTTGATGTCTAAGAGTTAAGATGACAGCAGAACAGAGGAGAGGCTGTGACGCTACCCAGAGACCAAGTGCTCCGATAATGCTGAGCGTTTGTGGAACAAGGACAGTTTCCTGGAATGTACTAGAACAAACAAAACAGTCTACTACATCCATGTGCATACACACACACACGCTTGGACACAAACACAGACCGTCCCTTCAAAATAAAACGCCAATCAGAGGGAAAAAGAAAGTCCTTTCTTCAAACTGTAAAAAAAAAAAGAAAGATGAAACTACGGACCCTTGTGTCCCCGATGTCTCTCGGCTGCTCCGGCCTGTTCTGGTCACTTCTCTATGATACACCTCGAGCTTTGTTTCCTCACACATTTTTCTCATTGATACCGCGACTCTCGACCACACAACGATTTTTTTAGGGTACTACATGTCAGAGGTGGGTGGTGATTGGCAAATGACGAAGAGTTCATGTTTGTTTGTTTTTTAAATGAGCATTTTCACGTGGACTTCTGCCTATAGTGAAGCGTCAAGTCCCCTCCGCTCTTCCAGATAAAATGTTTAACTGTTCGCAGGTCCATGTTGGGATCTAGAACCTGGTTGGAGGATGAAAAGATGATAATAGGTTATTACAATGACTTTGCTCGTAGCTTTGACCTCAATACATCTGGAGCAAAGAGCCCACCTGGTCTTGACACATTAGTTCGATCTTCTCCTCGGCGAGCATGGCCATGTCCTCCTCCTTCTCCTGATCCCCCGGCTTGTCGTTGGCCGAGGAGCTGGTGGTCTGCGACTCGTTGTCCAGGTTGATGATCTTCTCGTAAACGTGCTCCATCACCTTCCTCACCTGTAGCATGTCGCTGGCCGAGAGGCGGTCCCTGCAGACAACGCACAGGGGGAAATCAGCACTCCAAGCATCCATGACTGTAGATGTACGGTTGTTTTTGCATCCCATAATTGAAAAGGAATCACACTCTCAGAGTAGAAAAGACACTTACTTCTTTAGAGTTTTTGCTCCGGAGGAAGAATGGGGCTGGAGGTAGAATGGGATTTTGTTGAATTTGGGCATATTTTTCTGGAATAGAAGAGGAAAGATGATGCGTGAATATATGAAACATTGGATGAGGAAAGAAGATAACTTCGTGCACAAGGTGTTTTATAAAGATGCTAATAATGTCTTCCTTGGAGAAACAAAGTGACATTCTTTCAAGACGAAATTCAAATTTTCCAAAGCAAATATGGGAATAACATTAATGATGGCTGAATTCCATTTATCTCCCCCAGTGTCAGGATCTGTAGAATGCGTCCATCAGTGGTTCAAATCTGTTTTTGTGAATTACACCTCGTTTTCCTAACTGTGTTAACAGCACTAAGCCCACAGAATCTGATCGGTTCCATTTGGATTTAGTCCACCTTCCTCTGCGGTCAGATACAGGGTGATTTGTTTTGCAATGAGACCTCAATCTGAATGTTTAGAATCCATTTGACTTTAACTTCCCTCTAGATTGGCAGATGTCAAATGTCTGCACTGGCAGGAGTCACTCAGTGAATCCTAGATGCTAATGGGGTTGTCAGCGAGAACCGCTAAGGACGTCACAAGTAATCCAGATTACACTTGTGATTAACAACTCCGTAGATAAGTAGCCGCCAATGCTCCAAAAAAAAGAGCCATAGTTAGAAATGTGTCTTTTTACTTATTCTAGGCTTAAAACCACCTGAAATTCGCCATATAAAAAAAGGTGAATACAAATTCTGAATCAAGCACTGAATCTCGCAGTGTGAACTTTGTGACCTTTTATATAGAACCTTAGCTTTTCCTTCTATGACACAAGGCCAGGCAAGTTTATTTATCACCTTTCAATACAAGGCATCTCAAAGTGCTTTACAAAAATGAAAACATTAAGAGCATTAAGAAACAGTGCAGATTGGCATTTAAAAACAGTCATTAAATGCTAGGCGAATAAAAGAAACGTACAAAAAGCCACTAAAAACATCCTCTTCCTATAGTGACATTTAAAAAAGCATATCAGAGTAGAAAATGCTTGTTAGCATGTTGTGTTTTTTTAGTAACAAGGGTTTTCATTTATTTTACAAAAATTACAAAAGCGCACACGTGTTACCTAAAACCACAAGTGGCGTACTGGCAAACGTGTATTAAGTAAGCTTCTCTGAATGAATGAGCTATACATGTATAACGCACAAACACATGAGCCTGCAAATGTTATTTTTATAGTCTAAATAACCTGTAATCAGTTTTACTTATTAATTAATATTACTTAATAAAAATAAAACATTTTTACTCACATCTACCGTTATGTCTATAACCCACTGTGGAACGGTCTCGTTCAGCAGCATGGACTCCGTCTCTCCACCTGAATCTCTACATAGCAACCTGCAACGCCAGATCAAATGAGTAAAACACCTATAATCTGATGAGGCACAGTGATATTGCTGATGGTGAAACATTACCTAAATAAAGTTCTGCCTCCTGCCTCTCCAAAGATGACTGGCGTGTGTGGTGGCACTTGGAAATATCCATTTCCTTTCTGGACCCGGTTCTCCTGCTCCCCGTTCACTGTGGGCACAAAGAACACGTTCCTACTGTGAGACAAAGTCAGTGAGGTTTACAGAGAGCAGCAGGAAGTGATGTGGAGAGAGCAGCCTTCACGGAGCATCACTGCAGAGGGGTGTCTGTTTGGCCAGTGGCTGGATAGTCTCCCTTCCTTACCGTGGTTCACCTCGTTCTCCTCCTCATCCATGGGGTTGATGCGAGTTCTGGGCCAGAACTCCAGCAGAGCCTGGAGCAGGAGTCCACCCAGGTTCACTGTGGGGAAGAGGGGGGGGGGATTAAGCTAGCAAGTTAGCAGAAGACGCAAGTTGTCCTTGCATTGTTCTCATCAGTTTAATGTGAAGAATGTAGTAGAGGGACATCTCGGTGTAGTGAATGCTTTTATGTGTGGAAAAATAAAGAGTGAACATCTAGAAATCTCTGCTGGAAATGTTCCTTTCAAATGTTTTTGTACTGAGGTTACTGTTGAATCTGGCGCCGTCAGCCCAAAGACTTTAATTACTTTCAGTAAATATATTGAATCGAAAAAGACTAACAACCACCAAAGCTGCCAATAGAGTTAGCTTTAGTTCTGCATGAATAAACAGTTTTTATAAAATGTGATTAGGTCAGATATCTTACACTTTGGGTCGGATCCATCAGAGCTTGAAAAGCCGGCATCCTTTGCAGAGACCCAGGCAGCGAAGCAGTCGCTTTCATCCAGCGTGATGGTGAGCATCTGTTGAAAAACAGAAAAATGTATAAAGACCATTACCCTGACTTAGGAAAATAAAGTCCCATCCGCTGATACAGATGTAAAGCTATGTTATAAGCAGGTTTGAGACTCACCCCGGTTTTCAGATCGACAGAGAACCAGTTTGGCACGTAGACCATCTTGAAGCGCTTTTTAATCTCTTCGTCAAACTCCACTTTCCCCAAGTCTTCACCCTTGCAAGCCTGGAGTGATGAAAACATGAAGTCAATACAAACCACAGGTATCAGCAAAAGTAAATTAACACTAGGCTCGTCAGGAGAGGGCTTTATTTAACCGGAGTGACTGATTTCATTGGTTAAGCTTATAAAGGGAACAGGGCTCAAATTAAAGAGGGCATATTATACTCTGTTTCAGGTTTAATAATGTTATGTTGTGACACTACTGTGACATGTTTAAATGCTTTAATGTTCAAAAAGGTCTTTCTTTTTCTCATACTTTGACCCTCTGTCCAGAGCCAAGACTGCTCTGACTGGTTAATTGGCCGGCTCTGTTGTGATTGGTCAACCGCTTAGAGATGTCCCGCCCCTTAGCCCATCACGTACAATGTGTTGGAGCGCTAGCCAATAGAGGCGTAAGTGTGATGTCATTAGGTTCAGGAAGTCCTTTGCAGACCATGTGCATGCACTAAAACCTATATAACACTCTATAGCAGTGGTTCCCAAACTTTTTCTCTTTGGAGAAAAAAAAAAGTCAGGCCCCCCCCAACACAAGTCAGGCTCAGTAGATTTATTTTGGGGGTGCTGTGGGGTAGCTTGACATTTCATAGAGGGTGCTCAAACATTTAGGGTTTCCCATTAATGTACCGGTCGCTACAGTGGAATTTTACATTACAGTACATTTCACTTGTTAGACGCTTATATCCAAAGCGACTTCCATACTCAATACTGTGGGCAATCCCCACAGGAGCAATTTGGTTTGAAGTGTCTCNAAAACAAGCATTTTAAAAGGTGTTTCGCCTGCCATCTGTCTGCAGACTTGTCAAAGCATTAATTCATGGTTTTTACTTACAGGTATCAGTATGTTGTTACTTCAGCATCATTTTGAAACGTGTATTACAATTAAATCACGGTAAAATATGTTCATTTTGTTGTAGTTGTAGCCCCCTTGCCAGCGATTCTCTCTCTAGTTTAGCATATTCAGCCCGGTTTGTTGGCCCGGTAAGAACCTGGATTTTGGAGAGCCAGAAAAACTGTGAAACAGTACCCGTTAGCCGGAACTAAAATGCAACAAAAAACGGGCCGGGTTTAGCACGGCACGCTTAAACCGTGCTACACACTGCAGTGGAAATGCGCCATTAGTAACCAATACAAGAAGTATAAGTTATATTGATGTTGTAGTTGACACGCTGACGAGACATTTGACGTACTTCAAATATTTGTACCGATTGTTGGAATATTCTACCGAAGTACATTTTGGTTTAGAGGTAACACCGCTTGTTGTTCATATTGGCTGCACAGAGATCCTGTCCTTATGTGACTACAGTGTAAGTGTAATGTCTTTATCGGCAAGTTTACTTCCTAATTAGTTTCACCTCTGATGGCGTATTTAGTGTTTGTCACCATTGCCCTTCTTATCAGTTTGTCTTCTTATCACTATGTACAGCATTCCAGCACTTCTTTACATTACCTTACATGTCACTTGTTAAACGCTTTTATCCAGAGCGACTTACATACTCAATACTGTGGACAATCCCCACAGGGGCAATTTGGGGTGAAATGTCTCAGGGACACAACGACATGCTGAATGCAGTGGGACTCGAACTTGCTATCCTCTGATTCGAAGATCAGCCCACTAAACCACTGAGCCACAGCCTCTCACCTCATGTTCAGTGTTTCTGGTGCACCGGATCCATGCTTTTGCCGACTCCTCATCTGTTTTGGTTTCCAAATGGACTAAATTACTCCTTCGCAAAGTAAAGACTGTTTTAAAGTTTAGAGTTGTGTTTAGTCTGTTGCCTGTGTTCGTCCAGTCATACTAAAAATAATTGGTTTAGATAACTAATAAGTGGTTATGCATACATCATCAGACAAGCAAACACATACTTTACACAGCATAACGTAATAATAATATAATAATATCAAAGATATTGCATAACTCTTTCAGACAAGATGAGACCTTTTAATGAAATATGGAAGTTAAAGGGACAGGGTAGTTATGAATCAATGAGTTTTGATGGGCGGATGGCCCTAGAAGTTATCTGCGAGGTTCATCGAGACTAAATATTGAAGTAAACAACCTAAAATGATTTACTAAATCAATTAGTCTAAGGCCTTAGTCCTTAACTCCCGTAAAATGTAATTCAGAGCATATGATTGATTCAACATTGCTCTCAACATGTAGCGAGCCAGCGGCTAGCAGCTAACGGTGCAAGCAATGGCAGACAGAGCTAACAGTTCTAACCTGAGGGCGAACTGGAGAGTGGTTTTGTTTCTGCGACAATGCAGTGGGTCGGTACCATGTTATCAGTGGTCAACACCCATTAGCATAGTGCAGAGAGGCCGCCATTAGCTAGCCAGGCGCTAACATGCACGTATGCTAACTGCATAAACAGAGCGCAGAGAGTCTCAAATTACAACACACATTCACACAGAAAATTTGAAGACTCTATAAAGACACATTTTCTATATTTTCACTAATCAGTGTATGTATAAATCAGATTTTACGGGGCTTCTAGCTTTTTAAGTGTTCTCATTTTGAATTCCCAACGATGTATATGCTTTCTGCATTCTTCCCACCATATAAACAGTGTTGTTCTTTTTTAAGCTTTTGAAATATAGGCTTTTCTGTTATTAAATTAAACAAGTAGAAGCCTGTTGAAACGACACCTGCATGGTCAGTATTGCCAGTTTGTTTTTAGTTTGAGTAATTACTATTAAGGAAGCTATTGGTCACCACACAGCTAAACAAGTCAATCACACGAAACAACCTGAACATATAATACTTTTGGCCAAGCATTGGAATAATATATACAGAAAAAACGCTATTGTATACACACCAAAGACGTGTATGAGAACGCATGGAGAGAACATGAAGACATGTTAGTTGTCACTTCTTTTTTTATGGTGACATAAGAGAATGGATGCTAGGGTGGCTATTGGTACTCTTGTAATCTTTGTCTATTGTATATTCTGGGATGATGACCGACTTGTTGCCTCGGTATACACACTGTTATTTGATGGCATTGTACTTTTTTAAATGTCTTCTTTGATACTTCAAGGAGTCCTTGATTTTGGCACCTTGAAGTGTGTTTTACAGTCCTTGACAAGGACTGTAAAACACACATAACGCAGAGCTGACTGTTCCCTACACTGAAGTAAAACATCCTTTCTCTCTATCGCACTGCTCTGGCTTTTCCTCCTTCTCCACCCCCTCCCCCCTGTATTGGGTAATAGACTTTCCATTAAAACCTTTTTGCATAACCATGAAATTGTTGGAAGACTAGACGTTTTCAATATGTCCTTTTCCGAAGGCCTGTATTCCTATAAATACTAATTTCCTGTTGATCTAATTAGTGCCTGGAGGAATTTGTCTTCATCAATAATTGAGTAAAAACAGGAGAAACTCTATGGTCTGCCATTATAATGGATTTATTAGGGTTGGGGTGGGTTGGCTGGCTATTATTTATTAACTAGTTCTTTAATTGTGTTGAAACCACCCACTGTGGTGTGCAACAGTAGCGTGCTATATGCTGAAGTGGCACATTCTTCCCATAGGCTTACATAGACTTTCATATAATGGCAAACAACAGAACAAAAGAAATGCAATTGAAGCCATAAATAGGAATATGACAATAAAAACAATAAAAATGGTGTGTCGCTTGTACCCTTTATCTGACTGATTATGTAGCATATACTATAAATTCTCACCCAAATCTTTGCTAAACAACTAATCCAACTTCACTCTGATTTAGACACCAAGTTTTACTCTTATTTTGAAAAATTGTGTTCAATAGAACTCATTAACACAAAATATAACCTTATTTTTTGTTTAAAAAAAAACTAAAATGTTGAATAATTTTACAAAATTGACCAGTGAATTCCACAGATGTTATACATTTGAATAAACCCCATCATTCAATGAAAGTAGTGATGGTCAAAGCTGTGCAATTAATTCAAATGTAATCCAAATTGCAATATTGGCTATTTTATTCAAAATTGTAGGAGGTCCAATATTTGGTAAAGGCAAAATATGTGTAAATATCAATCAGTATTTCACAGATTTGATATAATGTGTTTGTTTGGAAGATCCTACAAAAAAATCACACAGCGATTATTTTGAATATATCTTTCAATCATTACAACAACAATGATGCGAAATTGATCAGCTCTTCCAATATCGGCAATCATATCGCAACGGCAATATCACTCAAAATAAATAAATGTTGGTTTTTTATTTTTTATTTGAAAGGTTTTGATGTTTTACTAAAACATCGAACTACCCATATTCCTCAGCTATCATTGAAGCTCGGTAATTGGATGTTTAGGGCCGCAATGCACGTTGGGGTATGGTGTTTATGCGATGTGAAATCCGAGAACATAAACAAAACAAAAATAATACTTTATTCTGAGTGTTCTTGCTACATACAAAATAGGTGGAAAGTAGAAGGTCAATGATAGAAATATAGAATAGAAAATATCAAGAAGATACTGTAGTGATCTCTACAATAAAACATCTAGTGGAGGACGTCCAAAGATATTAACAGGAGGATGTGCAAAACAGACAAACTAATAAGGCTTTATTTAAACATTAAAGAATACTTTAAGTTAAGGTCTTCTTTTGAATAATAAAAAAACTTTGGGGGTATCTAGAGATAACTGTACTTTGTCAGTAGTACTGACAAAGTACTTAACATCTAATATATTGCATACTTTATTTTGGCACTTAACAATCACCTTCCCTGAATTTTACTCAGGTGTAACTAAAGTCTGATTTAAGGGTTGTTTATATTTCACATCATTAATCAGAATCTGCAAAGTAACTCAAATAAATGTAGCGGAGTAAAAATACCAGGTTAACCTCTGAATTGTAGTGGAGTAGAACAAAGTAGTATGCTGCTGTAACAAAAACAGTTCCCAACTTGGGATCAATAAAGTATATCTTATCTTAAGATGATCGATGGCTACTGCCATATTTGCAAAAACACCGACATAAGACCAGCCGTTAAATAAAGCTCTTCTGACTTTAGCTGTCATGTGGGTATATAGTAATGCTGCCCATTATGGACACAAGCAATTTTCACCCATTTATTAATTATATGTTTTACATTTGAGTGTTTCCTATCCCCTAAACCTCCAGGGGTGCACACAATTTAATACTGGCAACTTCTAATTATGGGAAATGCGAAAACGTCTCTTAAAACTACAATTCCCAGTAGAGACGTGCCATAGAACATGTTGCGAAACACAATTAGCCAGCATGTGTAGCTCTGGGGGGTGGGTTTTGGATAGTCTGCCGTGATTTCAAAGAGCTGTTTGAAGCTTGGCGTAACCTTGGCGCACTGCCACTCCAACATCCAATCACAGAGCTTGAGG